ATTGCTTAGCTTAGGAAGTCACAACTAGAATAGGCTCATTCAATCAACAAAACGTAAAGAAGAATTGACTCACAAAATGATCACTGATTCAATGAACCTACTCTAGTTGCTACTTACTATACTAAGCAAGAGAATGTCAGCATGTAAGAAAGAAACACAATACACAAAAATGTGAAATGTGATAGGGAGAGGAGAGTCTGACACACACTGAGCTGTTCTATTGATATAAATGATTGAAGAGTGACCGTACAGTATGTGTGTGTCTAAGAAAGTGGGGGAGAGAAAGAGAGAGTAAGTGTAGGGACAGACATGACTACTTCAGCTCCTTTAAATTGAAGCTGTCATGAGCTATCTACGGAGAGACTATCAGACAGACAAGATGGAATGAAGTTTTGAACAATACAATCAAAACCACACAAATACTTGAGAAGGGCGAGGATAAACTATAAGCCCCAAACTTGTTATTCCATTGATGAAATGCAAGCCTAGAATAAATAAGCATCATCCTGTTCCTGCTGGGCTATAAGGCTTGTGCCAAGGAAAACTGTAAGTTGCTATAAAACAGAAGGGGAATAAAACGAAGGGATTCTTTAGTGTTTGGGATTAAACAGGAATGTAGACAGAGATTGCTTTTGTAATGCATTCAAGCTCAGAAGTTTTCTTCCAGACCAAAGAACACATTATACTGGTTGTAAACTATTTGTAATTATTCTTGCTGTGATCATGTGAGATAATAATTGACCTGCGGAGTACTTTCTCTCTAACTCTTTGGCCCTAGAACCTTCTTCTAAAACCTTATTCTGTTTTACTACAACCCAGCACCAAGAATGAATTCCTTAGGTGACAGATGACATAGAGTTTGCTGTTATGTACCCTGTTTCCCCGAAAATAAGACCTAACCTGAAAATAAGCCCTACTATGATTTTTCAGAGTGCTCGTAATATAAGCCCTACCCCCAAAATAAGCCCTAGTTAAGTGAAAGCCTGCCCTCCACTATTGTGTGGCAACCAGAAGAAAATGACATGACTGAATAAATGTAGATTGCTGTATGTACATGAAAAAAAATCTCTGAAAATAAACCCTAACGTTGGTTAATTCCTCAACCAGGAATACAAGCAGCTACTGGTTAATTAACAGCAATTAACTACACAATTTACAAAATTACAGTTCAAGCAGAGTAAATCCCCAATAGGATTCTGGCTATAACTAAAAATGACAATGTTTTAATTGTTTAAATTTGTTATTGTTCTGCCTTTTGAGGAAGACACAACTGTATGCACAATTCTCCCTGGAAAAGGCAAGCACTCAAACACTTCCAATGAACAACTGTCTCTGCAAAGAGTGATTCCCATATTGGGATTCCAGGTGATTCTGGATTGCAACTCCCAAAAGCCCTAACAATGTAAATAATGGATAGGCTTTACTGAAGTTATAGTAAAAGAATAAGTGAGATCTCAAGGTTAGGAATCAGTGGCTGAAATGTTAGCACTTAACATAAAGCTGCACTAGAGCAGGCCCACTGAATCTGTGGAGCTGATGAGTCAACTCCTCTACAAGATAGATATATAAAAATTCCACTGATTCAAACGAGCTACTCTTAACTGTGACTTGCTATGCTGAACAACAGGATTTCAACCACTGTTCTATACAGCCGCTTCTACACAGACTTCAGCACAATTCAAAGAAGTTATTGCCAAAAACAAACAAACAAACAAACAAACAAACAACACCTCAGTTACCTCTCCTGCCTGGCTATTTCAGGTCACAGCAATCAATTTCCTATCATACTCAACACCTGGATGGGACAGTAACACAACTAAAAACTAGAAATTTCCAGTGGATAATTTGTTCGAGAAATGCTTTTAGAAATTTGGATTTGAAGCAAAACCAGTGTCTTGGGGAAGATCTTTATGAGAGAAGGAAGATTAAGTTCTATTGACTTACATTGTCCTGCCAACTAAGGACAGCTATCACTATAGACAATGTCTTGTCTTGTCTGCTGTAAAATGAAAGAAGACATCCTAAGCGTCTTAAGAAGTAGATCAACATTGAAGGCACTCTGAAAAGCCCAGTTTTTGATTCAGAACTATTAAGTAAACATTTAATAATGTAAATTCAATGAGTTAAGCATTTCTACATGTAAATGTTAATAACAAAAAATTACTTTTGTATTTCTAACCACTTACACTAACAAATTAATTTTCAAACCTAACATTCCAAGTTCTGGCAATCTCCCTCTATCTCAGCTTTGTATGGGGAAAGGGAGAAAGTGTAAAAACTATATTGTATGCTGAAGCTTCTTCCAATTGTGGGTGCTTCATTCCCACTTTCTTGTTCTAAGCTATCTGGATAACGACTCTGTCCTAGCAAGGCAAGAGGGAAGAAATGCTGAGAGGAGTAATCTACTGGAAGAAGGAATTTCTACTGGGAACAATATTAAGAGAGAGAGCAATGGCATTGATCATTTTCAGAACCTTAGTAGAGGGATGGATGCATTTTTGGGGGTAGTACTTTTCCTAGCATCAAGCTTAACTGTAAAGAACGGCAGATATAAAGTAACATCTCTGTTCCATAAATCCTACTGAATTAATGAACAATTTTTGCTATTTGTGCATTTGTATTTACTTACACTCAGATTTACATAGCACATTTTCCATGTCATTAGCTGCTAAATGTTTTAACTACCCATTTAAGAGGAAGAGATTTCAACACTCACCTTTAAACTGCTTAGTAGTGCATTTAAATCAGACTCAACAACCTACAGCTACATTAACTGGGAAATTGCATGTGTCCTCATATTAAACTAATATAAAATTACTAGCCAAAATCCTGCTGCACAACTTTATGCTCTGCAACTCAGATGATGCCATCAATCATGGCCATTTGGGGGAATTAAAAGTTTCCTATCCTCCCAGTCCTGATTCCAGGCATCCCTAGGGATGGATCTCTTTCAGCTTGGGGAAAGTTTTGGGAGCTGCAGAATTGGGGTGGGGGCTCTTTAATTCCCAAATCAAGTAATCCTGGGGCAATGTTGTACAATAGAGTTTGGTCACTGTGACTGTAACAAATTATGTGAAATCAAATCTGGACAGTTTCAAACAATGAATTAGCAAATAATCCCCAATTCTATTGGAATAATCATACAAGACTATTTGTGATTCATTGTTTATTTGTTCAAAGTATCTATACCTTGCTTTCCCTGTCAACAAAACCCAAAGAGGCTTACAATGTTTTTTAAAAAAATGTTCTTATGCGCTGTCAAGTCAGAAGTAGTTTTACCAGCTTCACACCCCCACTGAGTTTCTGTGGCTGAGTGGGGTTTCAAACCCAGGCCTCTTTCATCCTAGTCAGTTGCTATATCCAATATAACACACTGAGTATCGCACCACACACTAAAAACAATAAATTATTAAAACATTAAAAAAGAATTAAATACCAAATTAACAACTCGTAGATAAAAACACTTTAAAGCATCCTAAAATTCATTTAAAAAATTCTTATAAAAGCATACTCTTAGGCAACCAGTTACTGTGAAAAAGTGTCCCTGAAGAGGAAAGTGCCTGCATGAGCAAAGAGTTCCACAGCCTGGGAGCAGTGACAGAGATGTTTCTCTCTGGTGTTCTCACTGAACAAACCCGTGAAGGTAACAAGACTAAAGAAAAGGCCTCCTCAAATGAAGGTAGGCTCATAAAGGGAGATGCAATCTTTCAGATAGCTGAGAACAAATTCATCCATAAGCCAAAACCAGCACTTTGAATTATGCCCAAGAATGGACCAGAAGCCAGTGAAGTTGATGTAACGGGGGAGTTCATTTGAGTGAAATTGCTACTAGGACATCTGAGCACAACTACTGCCCTTGTGCAGCCTTACATACTCCTAAAGGAGAGGTCTGTGCCTTCCATGCTGTAAAGGAGTCTATAATTTTATTCCAGAGACAAACCCACTGGCTTCACCTTTTAGCAAACACAAGCTTATGTGCACTGATTAAGGACGTAGTGACTGAAGATGTTACTACAAATTTCAAACTCATGGCCAGATTTAAATTAAAATTAATTAACATGTTCTAAATAGAGACGGGACATTCGTATTTGTATCCTTGGGGATACGAATATGAATACTGGCATCACAGGTGCCTGGGGAAACCTGACCCTCCCCCCAAAACGAGCTGGTCCACTTACTACTTGCTGCATGGCTGTCATCATTCATGTTGCACCAATCACAGAAGTAGCCTGGTCAGAGCTTCCCCACCTCATCACACAGCCAACAGCTGAGCAAGGAAACTCATCATCCTGCCTCCTCGCTGTAGTAGTCGGGAGTGGGGAAACACCAGCTGGGCTACTTCCACAACTGGTACAATGAGAATGACAAAGCACGTACTTGCTGCATGGCAAACAGTAGGTGGACCAGCCAGTTCTTGAGGAGAGTCTGGTTTCCCCAGGAACCTGTGGTGCCAATATTCATATCCCCAGGGATATGAATACAAACATGCCATCTCTAGTTCTAAAACCTAATAACCATCAGATGCACACTCCTAGAGTTTTCTTAGTAATAAATGACAAATCTGATGTGTCTGCACTTTATCCGGTTGGAGCTATGATCCTAAAGAAGAGGTACATACCATTTTATATTTTTACATCTATAAGACAGATTTCTGGATTTGTTTAGAGGAAACTTTCATGCCATTCTAAACTCTTCCCTTGTAATCTACAGTTTGCTCTTTTGGTATCTGCACTGTATTGAGTTGACATTTCAAAGGTCTCAATCACAATGGTCAATGGGGAATTATGAGTGTTCAATAGTTTTGAAATATAAATACTTATTCATGGGCAAACATATTTATCCATGCCGGCTTTAAATATTAAGACTCCTTCACAGCAAAAATGCCAAGTATCTCTCAGTTCAATAGAGATCAGCTAGCTTCATTTCATAAAGTAAAAGCATGGGAATGATGCCTCAAACCCCATGGTGTGTTGCAATGCATGCTCATTGTAGCTGTTCACCTGGTATGTGTCCCAAAGCCTTATGGTGCACTGCAGGGGAACTTCTCGCATCAACAAGTTATTCATCCAACGAAAAGCAAATTGAAGGTATTTTACTTCATGTTGTTCCAAATGTCTGTGTACTTGTTCTGAAAAAGAAAAAATAATTTGCATAGCATACTTCATACAAAACTAATGAGTTATGTACTGTAATAGATAAGCACACACCTACACTCAATACACATGCCACACAAGAAAAAAAAAGAGGTAGAAAAATAATTTTAATGGAATTTATAGTAGGACTGTCTTTAGCCTATATAGTTCCTAATCATTTTTCACTATTATACAATGGCTGAACAAGTAAAATTATGGAAGTTGCACTTCAAATGCTGCTTCTCAAATACTGTATTTTTGCAGCTCTGCTCCCAACAGCTATAAATAGTCCACAAAGCACACATAATTTGAAGAAACACATCCATGTACCTAGTCATCCTCTGAAAACAGATTACATGTCATATGACAATCAGACACTGCCTCATCCAATCAAGTCAAAGAATAAGGACATCAAAGCCCTAAGAACAAAAATTGACACGAGATGGTGGCATGACAGAAATGTGGCATTCCTTATAGGTGCTGTCACATCCAGTTTGTTCTGAAAAAATGGGCCAATGGAAAATGCAACCAAGATATGGTATGAAATCAGTAAAAATGAGGAAGTTTCTGCTGTGAGGAAAAAGATATGTTGTAAAAGTATGACAAATTACCACAAAAAGGGTTTATTTTTGAATGCTACTCATTGTAAGAGAGTTTTCATGGCCTCCAGCTATGAAAGTGGTCCTTCGGTTAAGATTACAACACATATGAAAATACATTAATGACAGAATGTGAGGTTTTACACTCAATTGTCATGTTTTCAAAACTGAGACAAAAGAATCTAGTTTGCTTGAGTAACCCATACTTTCTGAAAAAGATTTACAGGCAGAGGAATGAAGATTTAGTGTTGCTCAAGCTTGAGCTCATGACAACAAGGAATAACTGAGATATCTGATATAATCTGGGGTAAAATCCGTTTATGCAGTTACACAAACTGCGGAACATTTAGAGGCAAACTCCCATAAATGAATTAGTCTCTGTAGATATTATCTGTTGCATATTCAGTCACATGACTTGGCATACAACTGAAATGCCTGCAGAAATTTCTTAATTTAGGATTATTCACCTCCAAAAGTTAAAGAGTTTGGTTAACTATGCAACAGGATTTCAGCTACTATATAATGAAAAGTATGTGTTCTAATGTAATGACATATTGAATCAAGCAGAAAACTGTGAAATTTGAACATGTTTGTCTAAGAAATGGAAGGGATTGTCAAGGGGAACCTTTACCTTTTCCTTACTATGTGTTCTAATGTAATGAGATATTGAATCAAGCAGAAAACTGTGAAATCCGAACGTGTTTGTCTAAGAAATGGAAGGGATAAAGCAGTCTGCATATTTCTCATTTCAACTAACTTCCTTCCTTTTTCTTTTCTGTCCCCCCCCCCTCAATGCAGTGCCAAATCAGACAAACCATTTCTAACTTAATATAGGCTTGAGCTGTAGCTGGGCAGAGTTGCACAACAATCTCATCTGTCATTGGGACATCTCCAGCTTTTCCTTTAGAACTAAAGAGTTTATCAAAACTTCAAGGGGGAATGGGTGGGATTTGATACAAAATGGTTGTGAGATATCTTTATTTTGCCTAGCATACTATTTTGGTAGCTGTAACTCTTTTACTGTTATTCTGATTCCAAAACAATGTCTATATTTCAGTTTTAATTTAGACTCAATGATTTGACAGCCATTTTAGACATCAATATTTCTGTTTTCTCAGTAACAAAGTGCTACACAAGGCTAGTTTGTATATTAAAATAGGTTGTTTTAAATCATACTTATGTGACTGGAAGAGGAATTTTAAAAGTTTAGAAAGAAGTTCTTGATTGTGTAACTTTCAATGAAAGGCAGGTCTACTGCTTAAAAAAAGCTCGTACAAAATCAATTTCTGCTAGTATACTTGGTCACAATTTTAAATTACGACACAGGTGGTATTTGATCCCCAAAACATGTTATATGAACAAAGAGATAATCCCACAGTGCTGGAGAAATTCTAAGAAACTCAGATCCTATTTATATATTTGGTAGGCTTATTTCATTGTGGCATTATACTGGACAAATGTTTTTACAGAAATGGAGAAAATCATTGACAAACCTATTACTTTGCCACCCTCTCTGTGTCTACTTCCGTTATTCTTAGATAAATAATCAGAACAAATGATAAAGAACTTACAGTTGTCATGTGTTTGGCTGCATGACTGAAAATAATAGTAGGTGATTCTCCACTAAGAATTAGAAATCTAGACCATGGAACCTAGCTCTTATGGAAAACCTGGTATAGAGTGCGAACCTTAAGAAATCAATTCACACACAATCTATTCATTAGCATTTGGTATCCATTTATTGATTATGTAAATAACAATAAGATATATCCTATCCCTCAATCACATGCCTCTCTGTAGATCCTTGACTAAAATGATCTACTTTCCCATCCCTTTACTCCTAATTTTTAAACTTGATAATTGGTTATTTCCTCTGGTATTATTAGTCTTTTGCCAGGACCCTTGACTGTTCTTGAATGTATTATACTTTGTTGTTAATGTCTTTTTTATCTATTAAAACTTCAATAAAGAAATCGTAAAAAATCCAAAGAAAATCAACAGATCATTTAATGCTTTCATAGTATATGTGGTATAAATTTTCCACTATTCCCCCAACAGCTGACCAGTATTTTGAAATTATTCAATGTAGGCTCCTAGCAACCTGTGTGAGAGATGTTAGACCTATTAGTAGCATGCTTTCAAAGATGGCCTGTGTGGGGTAGTGTGCGGTCTCTTGAATTTGGAGCAGGAAGGCACCCAAATCAACCACAACACATGTTCACATCACACAAGAAAAGCAATCTGCTAGTGTTATTTCAGCTTACCATATCTCTCATATTTTTTTTGTGAAAATACGCACAGGTGTTTCCTAGTCAGACCTCCATATCTTGAGGACACAATATAACACACTCTAAAAAAATCAAATAGCAGTGTCTCCTTATATGTTCCGATCCAAGCTCTTGTAATGACTTTCCTCAGACTTTTCAAGATGGCCACTCAGTGATGACAACTGTCCTATGGCTCACTCCTTTTTTCAACCTTATTTATTTTAATCTTACACTCAGGCATTTCTATTTTCTCTTGTAATGTCAATTTCCAGCAATTGCATCTAGAGTCTTTAGAAAATGGATTTTTTTTGTGAAAATACGCACAGGTGTTTCCTAGTCAGACCTCCATATCTTGAGGACACAATATAACACACTCTAAAAAAATCAAATAGCAGTGTCTCCTTATATGTTCCGATCCAAGCTCTTGTAATGACTTTCCTCAGACTTTTCAAGATGGCCACTCAGTGATGACAACTGTCCTATGGCTCACTCCTTTTTTCAACCTTATTTATTTTAATCTTACACTCAGGCATTTCTATTTTCTCTTGTAATGTCAATTTCCAGCAATTGCATAGAAGCTGCTCTGAAAATGCGCATGGCCCTTCCCTTCAATAAAGAAAAAAATCACTTGTGGTTTCACAGTATACATGAAACGAAATTAACCCCACAGGATACATGCAGAAAGAAAAACATGCACAACCACCCTCACTGACTATGGAATGCAGTATATACATGTATGTGTACATACTTTAAAAAAGGAGAAACTATCCCTTCAGAGGACTCCAACTTTCCATCCAGCACACAACCACTAGCTGTGGTATATATGTACGTTGTGATACATACATGTTGTATATGAATAACTTGCTTCAGAAGGTTGTATGTTGGCAGCACAGTATTTGTATTTGTTTGCTGACAGCATGGCTTCAGATTTAGAAGTTATTTCGAGCTCTAACTACAGGACCTGCTTATAAGTGTATGAAGTCACGACTCATATATAGTAACTTCTACACCACCTACATGGGAAAGCCTCTGAAAACGGAAAGCAACGGGCTGTACCTATTCATATTTCAGCTCTCTTTAAAAACTAAAAGTAAAAACATCAAAAACAAATCCTCCAAGCTCTTATGCACTTATGTGTATTTCTCCCAGAAAAATAGACAATCAAGTGCAAAACTTTATTTGCAATTTGCTTTATAATATATGCACAGACACAAAATGGAAATACATAAACCAAAAGAATTCATCTCTCTTTTTTATAAGTAATTGTGAGCAGATGTTATTCCTCTGATAAAGGTAATTTGGCTGGTAATAATTCTAAATTTAAATTTTCCATTCCACTGATAGTAAGCATGTAGATGTAATAAATGACTCGGCATATGTAATTGTTGCCATCTTTCAGATGTAAAGTTCCCCCCATAAAATACTTATACAGCAGTTTTCAATAATAAAATTATGCTAAATCTTCAAAAAATAATAGCTGTTATATCAATATGAAATAATGAGTGAATCTTTTTAAAAGTCTTCTCAGCACTTTCAAAGTGTTTACACAAACCTATTTCAAACATTGCTGAAACAGGTCTTTTTTTTCTAAAAAAAGTTATATATGTATACTTTATGCCTTTTATTTACGTGTGTTCAAGCTTCTTAGACATGTTAATACAGAATACACTGTATCTATATACCACCAATTAGAATAATAATTCTATGCTTAATTCTAAAGTAAAATACCAGGAAGAAAAGTTTTTACCCTGTTTCCCCTAAAATAAGACATAACCTGAAAATAAGCCCTAGTATAATTTTTCAGAATGCTCGTAATATAAGCCCTACTCCAAAAATAAGTCCCAGTTAAGAGAAACCCCGCCCTCCACCACTGTGCAGCAACCAGAAGATGACATGACTGCATGTGAATAAACATAGATTGTTGTACATGAAAAAAATAAAACATCTCCTGAAAATAAGCTCTATGCATTTTTGAGCAAAAATTAATATAAGACCCTGTCTTATTCCCAGGGAAACAGGGTACTAAAAATCATAATCTGTTTCTCAATGCCAAATGCTTTAATAAATTCCCAACCTCCAAAAGTTCTTTGTCACAGAACACTCAAGTTTAGAACTGCTCAGGTTTAGTACACTGCAATACAGTATCTCTTTCTAACATGTACTTCATGTTAGAAAACACTGCAACAAGGAGACAATTTGCTCCCAATGGAATACCCACTTACTGTAATGCAGGCTAACTACCACATCAACCAAAGATATTGTACTTATTTTACATATATAAAATATTTGTAACAGTTGATGGGATGACAGAAAACTAAGCTATCCTGGATGAGGGCAAGCATAACAGGTTTGGTGTAGATTTTGCAGACTACCATCTAACTTCTGCTGGAAAAACCTCCAATGAAGGAAAGTTTACTATCTTCCAAGACAGTCTGTTCCATTGCTGAACACCTCTTATCATCATGAAGTTCTCTGAAAGGTTTTGTCTTGAAATTTTTATCTACTGGCTCCACTCTCTAGAGCAGCAAGAACAACAAAAAACTTGCACCACTTTCCATGTGATACCCAAAGATGGCTATCTTACTACTTCCAAGGTCTCTCTTTACCTGGCTACACATTTTCATCTCCTTCAACTGTTTCTCATTGGCACCTGTAGCCATGCACAGTTAAAAAACCTTTGAGACTACAGTGGTGCCTCGACTTACGAACATCCCTACTTAACAACTGTTTCGAGTTACGACCAGCTCCGGCCGCAAAAATTTGCTTCGACTTGCGACCGGGGCTTCTACTTACAAACACAAAAAGGCAGGGAAAAAAGGCATGACATTCAAATTTCTAACTGTAGGTGGCGACAAGGCTGCTTCTTTGTAGCTCTTTCACCCCAGCAGTTAGAGTGTGTGTGTCAGAGGAAGTTTGGGACTGCCTCCTTCTGCTTCTGAGAGCATGTGTGTGTGTTTTCAGGGAGGCTTTGGGCTGCCTGGTAAGGTAAGGTGCTGTTTCCTGCTTTTTAAAAATTGTTCTGCGTGTTTTTGCAGCGTGGTTTTGAGCTGGGGGGTTATGTTTCTGTGCTGTGATGGGTCTTGGGGTGGTTGTTCGTTTTTGGTTCCCCCTCATTTCCAATGGGTCTTGGGGGAGGTGTTGCTTTGTGGAGTGTTTTATCCAATTTCCGATGGGTTTTCGGGAGTTTGTTTTTTTGTTCTCCCTCCCCATTTCTGATGAATCTTGGGGTTTTGTTTGTTTGGCTTTTTTCCCCCCAATTAATGATGGGTCTTGGGGAGGGTTGGTTGCTTTTTTGGATTTTCCCCCATTTCCGATGGGTCCTGCATGCTTCCCTTGCTTTTTCCTTTGTTTTCTTTGCATTTCCAACCTGCCCCTTTTGTTCTATGTGCATTTCCCATCTGCTGTTTGTTTTTTGTCCATTTCCAATGGGTATTGCATGCTTGATGGCTTTTCTCCCCCCACCCCCCCTTTGGCTGGAAGGGATTAATCGTGATTCCAATGAGTCTGGTAGTGATTTTTTTTGTGTGTGTGATCTTTTTCTTCAGCCGGAACAGATTAATTGCATTTCAATGCATTCCTATGAGAAATGGTGCTTCGACTTACGACCATTTCGAGTTACGCCCATTTTCTGGAACAGATTATGGTCCTAAGTCGAGGCACCACTGTACTGAGATTGTTCAATGCATACCAGACTCATATTTCACAATTCACTAATAGCCACAGACGAAGAAGAGATATCACACGAATGGCTACATGGAATTCCATTTAGGAGAGTGAGAGGGCTGACAGAAGAGAAATTGACTGTCCCACTCTTCATCAGCTAGTCAATTATTTTGCTTTGCTAACAAATCTCCTTCTTCACTACTAACACATAAACTCTACTGGCAGAGTGGCAACAAATCAGTGAACTTCTGTTTGCCCAATCAACTTGCTAGAATGCTTTTTTTTCTTATCTACTGGTAAAATACTAATAGCAGTGTTTCCAGTGGTAGTCATGGTAGGAGAGGCTTCTCTGCTTCCATAGGCAGTATAGAAATACATATTTACGAAGCTGATATCAGTCTCATCTATGAATAGGGTTTGTCCCCCTCATTACTCAAATCCACAATCCTCTGATAATCTCAAACACAGGAAGATTCCTGAAAATATTTTGTCATAGGTCTTGCACTCTTAGTCATCACTATGGGGTTAAGGTTTCCTGCATTACAGTAAACTTTTCTCCAAACACTCAGTCTGACATAAGCATATTATTCTAGCAGACAGTTAATTATCATATAATTTCAAGAGGTTTTAAGCTATGTTGGATTTCCCCATAACACAGCTATTTTGAGTTGATACATGTAAATTTTGCTGTATCATTGAAGAATTGCAAGGAATTATATTCCTGAGTGCCACAAATCACAGCAGAAAAGATTGGTAATTCCATAGGAACCTTTGAAAAAGAAGTTTTCGACTTTAGACAATTAGCAGAATGTGAATTTTTTTGTTTGTAGTACTGTGCCTCTAGATCAATCAACTTTAAAACACCTAAGAAAAGTAATTAAAATTGTTCTTGTATGATTTAAAACAGCTTTACTGAATTACAATGATCACATTTCTTATAAATATTGCAAAATAACAAATCCTTTGAAATTGAAAACTTAATCCATGGAGTTTGAAAACAATTCCCTCAGAAGATGAAAAGATGAAATTATTCTGAGGCTCTTGTATTCATTACGGTACACATATGGTTCCCTCTCACTGTAGGACTAGAAAAAACAACAAAAGCTCAGAGCCAGGGTGACTGTAATAAAATTATGGAGAAAACACTATTTTCAGTTACAACACTTATAAGTTAAGAATTCAGAAACCCCAGAACATTCAACCATGTCTGTATCTAACTTTCATGGGTTGCCAGGTCATAGTTTTTAAAAGTAGAATTTTTACGCGCGAATCAAATCAAAGGGGGAAAGATGATAAAGAAATTTGGGATTTCAAATGAGGATTTGGAAACTGCTTTAACACATTTTTATTGATTCACGTGTTTACAAGAACAGTAATATATACATTAATATATACAGAGACAGATACTAAAAAGGCATAAGGTAAAAAAGGTCAAATTATATGGAAAAGAATCGTACCACAGAGATCCCAGACAGCAACTGCTTCCTAAAAAGTTACTTACATGCTCTGGTATTTCTTCTGATCTTGAAAATAGCTGGATAGCTTTATATAAGGATAATGTTAACCATTACCCAAGTCCAAGGTCACTAGCAACTATCTTTAATGTTAAAACATAGACAAGCATAGATAAAATTTGCTGTGGTTATATGCCAGTGCAACTAAGCATATACTGTGCATCAAGAAACAATCCAATTAGTCTTTTCAAGAAATTTGTACAGTATTAAGCTATTTGTGCAATAAGAGTTCTCTGACACCCATACACCCATAAGTGATAGGCAACGTCACAAATATATCCTTAGTTCTGCTTGGCATCACTTTACTCGTTAACTTAACAAACTATCAAGAGAATATGTTGAGAATGGGCAAGCACTATATCTCGAATTTCATTTAATTAAACTCTACTCCAGCAATATGACAGTCAGCACTTCATGATGGGAATTGTCTTAAGAATGAAGGTAGAAAATGTTTCTAACTGGTCTTGCTAAAACATGAAAGCATAATCTAAAATTACCCTTCCACCCACTGTAATTTATTTCTAATATTAAAGATGTTATTTCCAAAGTTGTAATTAATTGGATTCCACAGAGAAATTATTCAGACATTCCTGATAGCAAAATGATACACTTAGGCACAAAACACAGCGCCAAAGGACAACTATAAACAACCACTGTGACTTTCCCAAATTACTACAATCATTGAGCTTAATGCAAAACGAATGCTGGCTGCCTTTTGTACACAACCATTAGTCTGCAGCAAAGAGACCGGCATTGAATTTTGATTACATTGCCTTAATAAACAGTAATGAGAGTGGCTCACGCTCTAGTAGCTTTCCTTTAGATGATACACTGCAGCGAGTTTGCAAAAGGCAACCATGCCACTAGCTGATTAAGGATGACAGCTCACCAGTGAAATCTGCGTTATGGTTGGGGCAGATCGCTGCACTGACAATGGCAAGGCAGCTCACAAAGTTTTAACCAAAACTTCACCCAATTCACATTTAGAGTCCTCCTGAGCTATTGGGGCTTACCATCAATCCGGCTCACAAGTTCTTCCAGCATTTTCACTTTCTTTTGAATACCTGGCTGGGCAAAGGTGTAGTTATCCTGAAGAGACAGAATCATAAAACAGAAATGTCAGCAGGGAGGTGGAAATTGGCATTTCAAATCATACACCTACTGCTGAATGTTTCAAAATACAACTCCTTCAGTACACCTCTGCTTTACTGAGTGCCCTGCTCAAAAAAAAAGAGTAGAAAAAGAATTTATGACAACATATTTGAGTATTTTAAGTATAATCACTTTGGTGCTTAGAGGATGCCTTTTTAATTGTGGCTCTGACCCATCTATTCAAAGAAACAAAGGTTTTCTGTAACACACACACATCAACACCAAGTGGAAATGTGCATATTCCGAACTGTGAGGCCACTTGAGAGGAAATATATACCCCCAAATGGGAACAGTTCTCAATTCAGTCACGAGAATGGCAACAACAGGACACTATGTTCATTACCAAGACATCTGTTTCTGTTTCAGTGAAGCGCTTGGGACACTGACTAATTGTGCCATGAGGAATTTCAAAGAAAGCACTCTTTATAGCACGAATGGCCGACATGTCAGCCTACATATTGTTAAATTCCAACTTCCAGCAGCCTTAGCCAGCGTCACCAGTGACTAGAGATGAAGGGAGTACTAGCTCATTGGGAGGGCTATAGGATTTCCCACTCCTGCTTTACATCAAACTATGTAATATAAAAGCTGAGGAAAATATTAGAATCAACTTTCCTCCCTACAGTCTTTGCATAAAAAGTTTTTCCTCCCAAATCTTTCATTTTTGTTGCTGCATCAGTCTTCTTACAAAATGACAAGCTGAAACATTAGATAAAACGTTTTATTCACAATTGGGAGTGGCTGAAATGGTTTGTGCTCTGACAAGAAACCATGGATACAAAAGAACGGGTTGCTCCAAAAGCAGGGGGTAGAAAATTGCATTCTGCTAGATTTGAGGTTTCTGTTCTGTGTTTCAGAACAGAAGATTATTTCAGCAATATTAATGCTTTATTTTGTCAATCACTTATCAAGCTGAAGTCCCATCTTACATCTTATTGGATCCTGCAAGCCATGTTTTAAAAATCAATCTATTTAAAGGCAGATGCTTTTTATTGCAATAAGGAAACTTTTGAAAGGACTGGTAACAAAAACAATGGGAGCATTTTAATGCAAACAGCGAAGAAAAACTGGTTGCTTATTTGTAACTGTGTTTCTTTGAGTGGCAATCTGTGCCATCTTTTCTTTCAGTTTCTTTGGTCTGTCAGGTAGGCAGAAAATGAAAAAATAGAAGGAGCAAGAGTAGTTCATATGCAGAGGGAGAACAATGGCTTGAGTGAATGCATCTATCTGTAAGCAGCCTGTTCTTCTTTGTGACTCATACAGATGAGTACAGCACTATAGTTAGCTCCACTTACCAGGAGGAAGGAGCATGTGTCACTGATATAAAGAAATCAGAAAAGAGTGACCAAACAGAGCTTGTCAGCAAAAAAGTGTTGAGAACAACAGTGGCAGAAAAGTGTAGTTGGACCCATGTGGCAAATTTTCAGGCCTAGTTGAGAGGGACATCAGCCAAGAATATTAGAGAGAGAGCCACTGCTCTGGCTGAATGGGTATTCAATGATCCTAGAGGTGGCACTGCAGCTATGATGGCCATTTGCTGCTAAGTGGGGAGGAAGATCTTGGAATTGTGAGATGAAAAGAGAGCATGGCTCCTATAAACCTGATGAGCTAGGTTCCCCTTGACATTTAGTCCAGTCGTGTCTGACTTTAGGGCACAGTGCTCATCCCCGTCTCCAAGCCGTAGAGCCAGCGTTTGTCCGTAGACAGTTTCCGTGGTCATGTGGCCAGCGCAACTAGACAGAGAACACCGTTCATTATCTTCCCACCGTGGTGGTACCTATTTATCTACTTGTATTTACATGCTTTTGAACCGCTAGGTTGGCGGGAGCTGGGACAAGCAGCGGGAGCTCACTCGGTCACGTGGATTCGATCTTACGACTGCTGGTTTTCTGACCTTGCAGTACAGAGGCTTCTGCAGTTTAACCCGCAGCACCACTACGTCCCTGATGAGCTAGAACAATGTTAAAACTGGCTTTTCAGGGTTGATGAGAAGGACCAGGTGGGTGAGAAGAGAGACTGCTGTGGGTGGAAAGGTAGATCTCCTGGGAAGGGACTAGCAACTGTCAGTCATCAATGTACATAAACCCACTGATACAGGAGGTTTTGAAGCTAGAAATAACCATTGTGATGGATTTCATGCACTACCCCGGGTGATGCAGAAAGCCTAAAGGGCAAGAATTTGAACAGGAACAAGTTTACACTGTGGTAAAATGATGGACTCTTCAGGACGAAGAAAGAGATAAAGAAGAGAAAATAAACATTCGATCTGGTATGGCAAATCAAAGTCCTTTTGAGGAGCAGGAGGAAAATAGCAGTCAGAGTTGCCACCTGGAACCTATTCAAAATAATAAACTTGATTTATCTGAGATAAAGAACGGGCAAATGCTGTAACATTTTATGGACAGAATAAAAGAATGACATCTATCTCCTCTGCTTGTTCTTTTATTCCTGGCTTCACTGATATCTCTGACTCCACAATAACTATCTGAGGGGATGGCTCACTACTTGTTATTTCTTTACTCTCCTCCTCACACATCCCTGTGGATGTCCACAAGGACGTCATTCTTCTCCGCAAGGCCATTCTCCTTGTGGAGAAGTATGGTAATCTCCTAAAGGAGGACTGAAGATGGCTGAGCCAAACGGTGTTGACCCATCGTAGGGTGTGAAATTCGATGAAATATCTTCTGGACCCACTAGTCCATGGTGATATTTTCTATATGGGGAGAACACTGGAAAGCCTGTTGCTAAACATGGACTACACTGAGTCGGAGGAGTATGAGTGCAGCAATGTTAAGGGAGGTAGCAGCATCATGGTGGGTGACATCAAAGAAAAAGAAATGTGGCATGACAATGTAAATAAAGGTGCTATTATCAAAGAGATGGAAGTGGTAAAGGATGGACACCCTGTGAAAGTCAGAGGTGATGAATGGAATTGTCATTTTGCTGCTTCTTTAGGGAATCTGGTGACTGGTACTTGGTATATGAGAACTTCTTTGAAGACGCAGCATGAGATACAGACCTCAAATAGTGGAAGGAAAATGAATGGGGGTTGTTTGGAAGATAACTGACAATACCGAGAAGACAAATGCTTAATTTTGGCTCATGCATAAACACACAGTTTTGGTTATGGTCCAAGTTGATACTCCTCTTATTGAAAAGTCCAGTCTCATTGACCTATGCTTAATAGTGCCCTAAGAAGCAGTGCTTATGCGCAGCTTTTGGCTGTAGCTTTTTTTGGGGGGGGGCATCAAGGTCCTGTCATTCAAAAGACCAACTTCCCTGACGGGGGGGGGAGGGCGATTTGTTCCCATTAAAATGGTGATACAGAGGGGAAAATGTTTTCCTATAACATCTAGCTTTCTCCCTCTCTTGTCTGCAGAAGTGGCACGGGTACCTCATGCCTTCTCTTCCTGTTCTCAACCATAACTGATGTAGAAGGGCAATGTCTGAAGAAGACAAGCAAAAATTAGGGAAGATCTAGAAGGGCAGTGGTGGCGCTGCGGGAAGGGACGTGGTGGCGCTGCGGGCTAAACTGCAGAAGCCTGTGCTGCAGGGTCAAAAGACCAAGCAGTTGTAAGATCGAATCCACGCGACGGAGTGAGCTCTCGTCGCTTGTCCCAGCTTCTGCCAACCTAGCAGTTTGAAAGCATGCAAATGCAAGTAGATAAATAGGGACCACTTCGGTGGGAAGGTAACAGCGTTCCGTGTCTAAGTCACACTGGCCATGTGACCATGAAAGATTGTCTTCGGACAAATGCTGGTTCTATGGCTTGGAAACGGGGATGAGCACCGCCCCCTAGAGTCGAACACGACTAGACAACAATTGTCAAGGGGAACCTTTACCTTTACCTTTAGAAGGGCAGTCAAAATTCTAGGTGGAAAATCAAAATTAGTCAGGAGAGAGAAGGTCAGCAAGCACTTTAACATAATAATAACAGTAATGAAGCAGAATACAAACACCACCTCTTTGTCTGCTTCATGAGGTCATATAATGTATCTACAAACATTATTATCCATTGTTTAAGAACAAAATAGATACTATGCCTCTACAACAAAACTATCCACACTGAAATTGAGCATCACTTTTATGTACCTGAAAATTAATCACTTATTAGACAATTCGGCTTTGACCCTGTGTACATTCAGCCTGGGCTGATTTAAAACATCATGCGAAAGGATATTTTCCATGAGACAAGACATTCATGTGCAGTGAACCACCACAAAGGTCAGAAAATTATTTTTCCTCACATGGGAATGGGTCACCATATAGAATGTTTTAAATGCTGCTAATGCAGCAGCAGTCATATGTACTGCTGGATACAAACCATTAGAAACTACAAAAATGAAGTTAATGACTTTTCAGATCTTACAGTAAGTATAAATATCAGGGAGTGATTTAGCTTCCAAATGCCATGTGGCATAAGTTGACTCAAGTGCTGATTCACAAGTTACACATGCTGTTTCTCTCATCTCTGATCACAACACTCTCGAGAAAATACTAAATGCAACAAACAAACAACCAAACAAAAATGATCAAATGCATGAAGGCTTTCCTTTTATTTTTAACATCAGCTAATATGTGGTATTTTCATATAACAGAGGATTGGAAAAGGATGCTCTGCTATAGAGGACTGTGTTCTTAATGTACCACAGAAAAGGTACATTTTCTTAATTATCTTTAGCCCAAATTCAAGCTAAAGGACCACTATAGGCATATTGTTTTGGACAAGAATTTAATAATTTCCTTCAAGAAACACAAAACAGTGCATATACATTTCGCAACATGGTGGCATTTCCTGCCCCATCCTCTTTGTTATCTGTGTTCTTCAATTTCCTTAATGCAGTTCCAAAAACACTAACTGGTTACTTTCACTGGTTAGAGAAGAGGAAATCAATTTACCTGAATGCCATCAAGCAGTTTGCTCATACACCAGAAACTGTCAGCTTCAATGTTCTGCAGTACTTCAGCAGGCAGACTGGAAACATCAAAATTTTCCACCTCTTCTTCTGTTTTGTAAAAGAAAGAAAGGGAGGAAAAACGTATTAATGAAGTACATAGATTATATAAGAAACTAATGCCCTAAAGAAATCATCATCCCTAACTTTGTCCACAAACATTCAAGTAAAGTGGCTGGATATCTCAGTGAGTTGAATAATTGGCTGAAAGGGTTGGGAATTAAGATTCCCCACTGTGCCTCCTGAAAGAAGAGTCAACCTGTGTAGCCTTGGGCAAGCTACCTGGTTCCAGAGTGATCCCAGATAATAGTGCCCTAAGAAGCAGTGCTTATGCGCAGCTTTTGGCTGTAGCTTTTTTTGGGGGGGGGCATCAAGGTCCTGTCATTCAAAAGACCAACTTCCCTGAAGGGTAGGTCTTCTACTGTTGCTCTGACCTCTTAGCTGATGCCAGAGGAGTGGAGCCAGGCATGGCAACATATGGGTGATAGTTGTTTAGTCTCACAGTTGGCAACCAATTTTAATTTGCTGGGCTCCTAACTGCAGAAAACACAAGCTATCATCTTCTGACATTATATCTCGGGGGGGGGGATCTGTTCCCATTAAAATGGTGATACAGAGGGGGAAATGTTTTCCTATAACATCTAGCTTTCTCCCTCTCTTGTCTGCAGAAGTGGCACGGGTACCTCTCATGCCTTCTCTTCCTGTTCTCAACCATAACTGATGTAGAAGGGCAGTGTCTGAAGAAGACAAGCAAAAATTAGGGAAGATCTAGAAGGGCAGTGGTGGCGCTGGTAGATTGTCTTCTCTCTGGCCTTTGATGTCTGCAGCGTCATTCTGAAATTGGTTGAGGGTACTGCAGGGGGAGGAAGGAATACACATTTATTTATTTACTTTATTTACTGTATCTATCTTATTTATACCCCGCCTATTTGGTCAATATGACCACTCTAGGCGGCTTCCAAACATGCAAAAATACAACAACATATATATATAGCAAATAAAAATATCAACAATATACAATAAATAATGAACAACAGACATAAACAATAAGCAGTTCTTCAAGTACTGGGATAGGGAGGGCTAGCCATCATAATATACCGCTGATGCAGTTTCTTTCTTATACCAGGAACACTTTATTCATTATAAATACCATTTATAAATATAACTTGTAAAACCAATGGTTAAAAAGCTTAAGTTGGTCATAGTGAGAAATATCAAACACTTGTCATGCTTGGAACATCTTCTTTACAGTGGTGCCTCGCTTAATGACTGCCTTGTTAAACGACGAAACCGCTTTACGGTGAAGTTTTTGTGATCACAAAAGCGATCGCAAAACGATGTTCCTATGGGGAAAATTTGCTTAATGATGATCGGTTCCCTGCTTCGGGAACTGACTTTTTGTTAAACGATGAAACAGCTGATTGGCGGTTCTAAAATGGCCGCCCCCTGTGCAAAATGGCTCCTCGCTGTGTTTTCAGGATGGATTCCATGCTTTACAGGCAGCGAAAATGGCCGCCTCATGGAGGATCTTTGCTGGAAAGTGAGTTTTCAGCCCACTGGAAATGGTTTCAATGCATTTCAATGGGCTTTTTTGTTTCGCAAGACGATGTTTTCGTAAGACAGCGATTTTCGCGGAACGAATTACCATCATCTTGTGAGGCACCACTGTATTTGGGAACACCTCTTCTGGTGTTGATGACCTCCCTGCAGAAGAGTGGTCAAAATCAGTAGTCTCATTCTCATGGACACAAACACTCTACAAATGTCTGTAAGGAGAGCACTGGATGGTTTCTGCTTAGGTCATTGTGAATTTCCAATGAAATGAAGTGATACATTTCATGTGTGCAAGTCTAGGATACTTTGTGAGGATATTGTTTACTGCAGATCAAACAGAGGGTAAGCTCTAGAAATGCCTCAAGTTTCAGTAACATTTCCTGGCAGACCATCAAACTGGAGTGTGCTGGGAGAGCAGCAATGTATTTTTAAAGCATCTTCTCTTTGCAACTATTGTGAAACTAAAGAATAGTAAGATACTTCCCTTTTTCAGTTGCAGTTTAAAGGCACGTTTTCACAAAAATGAACAATACTGATATTTTGTGAAGTGATACTTGCTATTTAGCTTATATTTGTGTTTTGTTTACTAATGTTGGCAACAAGAGGTATCAAAATCAGTCTTGGCAATCCCTTCATTTAAGGATGTACTTCATCCTACAATTTAACATCACACTCGAACCCAAAGGTTGGAATCCAACTAGAACTTTACTCTAAAGCAAATAAAATTACACATGTCATGTCAATAAATTACAACTAATTAACAAGATGCCAGGTGCAAGCCTTGTTTATGTTACTGGGATACTTGCAGCATGTTGTTAATCAGCTGCAATTTCCCACCACAACTTACATAATTTCACTTACACAATAGGATTCTGGTGAATACATTTCAAATCTGGAATACCAAGGATACTTGTTGTTCCAGTTTCCACCAGCACTTTAAAAAATGCATGGCTCTGTAACAGAAATGGGCAAAATGTGGTGTCCTCCAGACCTCTCTCCTCATTATTATTATTTTTGTAAAATTTTGTTTAGGAGATCACTCTGTGAGAATGTTCTGTGAGTATGGCAGCATAGCTTAGAAGGCTCTGTTTCTGGTAGCTGCCTGCCTCTCTCTCAGATAGCAGTGGCATGTATGAAAAACTTTTGATTGATGATATTAATGTAGGGGTGGGTACTTATGTAGATATAGAGGACCTTGGTCTTAAGCAACAACTGTCTTTAAAAGTCAAAACAGGCTCTTTGAAGTGGCTCTGGAAAGACACTGGAATCCAGGGAATTGTGGTAGCAAATGCTTAATGCCATTAGAATGCACATTTAGTGCGTAATGTAGTGTCTAAATTTCTTCTTAATTTGTGCCTGGGCTTCAACTTCAACTTCCAGTTGAAGTTGCAGCTAGGGTACCACTTTAAGTTGGTAAGAGAATAAAAAGGTTTATTCTGTGCTACAGAGACAAAAAGATCACACAGTTTTCTGTGTTTAAGGTGAAAGTTCAGCTGGGGAAGGTAACAGCAAGTCAAGAGCAAGGAACTGTACATTTGCAAGGCATGGCTAATTCCAAGTCTGAGGAATTGAGGGGTGGGAGCAGGAGGGATTTTTGAAGATCCACACATCTGTACTCGAAGTGGTAAGCTGGATGGAAATGCCTTGAGGGGAGAGCTCTGTAGCCATAATAATGACCACAAAGTCCTGCACTGCCCATCAAGCAGGCTTGGCATAAATATGGAAGCTTCTGAATGCTAACACCTTGGAGGTCTTCAGTACCAAAAGCTTTTGTACTGGACCAACACTGTGTGTTGCATGCTCCTATCCAGCAAAGTCAAGGGCATTTCAATTCAATGTAACTTTAATGTCTTCTCTGTCGCCTCTGTGAATCATACATTGAGTTTTCTTTGTGCTTGTGCAGTAATCCTTGGAAATCTGCAGACTTGACAATATCATCATCCACACTGGCTAGCCACTAGTATGTTTACAGTGAAATTCTTCATATCTTTTTGTTTGTTTTGTTTTGTTTCAGGTTCTTTCATGTTTTGGGTCTTTTGTTTAAACACCCAAAAAACTATCCCTACCAGCTACTGCCTGGAATACGATGCTAAATTAAACAGGGCACTTTTGTTCTTAGTATCATCACTCAACAACTGCCAGCCAATCTGGTTATCACTAATGCAGAAGTAGTCACTGACATTGATTTTAAGGGGAAATAAGAAACACAATTTATCTTTGAAATTAGAAGTAGGATAATGATGCATCTAGCGCTAAAATGATGTCTAAAATTTGCAAAGAATGTTTGCTAATTTCTGTATTTTAGAAAATGTTTATAAAAACATTATCACAACCACAAAAGCTCCATTGTCAAACCAAGCAGAAAAATTGCTGCGTGCTATTTTATAAAGGTTGCTATATTTTCTATTTTGCTTTTGCCCATCATTTCAGCTAACACTGCCATTTATTTACTGGCAGGTCCTGTGTGTTTTACTGCTATGTAATGGGCAAGAATAAGCAAGTGGAACTGTTCAGTATTTGGACATGCAGGTTCAACACACACAAAAAGCTTCTCTTGATGTTTCCTGGGTCTTGTGTATCAGTGGAACATGAACTTTAACTAGAAAAAAATTGTTCCAAGGGTAACTTCCTAGAAAATTTGAACAGCATTATCAGCATGCAAAACAAAATCAAAATTTCACATGGGCAAAGTAATGAAAGATGAAAAGGAACTATTATTTAAAAGCAAAGAAAACAAAGTAGAAAGCAGGTTGTTAATGTCGAATTGTATGTACAATGTAATCCTATTAGAAAACAGGCCATTGTCAGCAATACTTCAAGAACTGACAAGAAGCGAAATCCACAAAGGCTGCTTGCCATAAAAAATTGCATTGCATGCAGATTATTTTTTTAAAGTAGCAGGACATCATACATCTTTGTCAATATTTGGATGGAGTAGAGATACCACTGCACTAAAATTCCAATTACTATGTCTCACAGCTATGTTTCTCGTTTTCTTCAGTTTCCTGCAGTGATTCTCACCATGTTCTCTGCATAAGTGTAGAAGTTAGCAAAATAGTTGCCTGAAGAAAAACCGTTCGAACATGAAGTAACTGAAATGCTGATCCAACTGCTGTGGTTGCTGCAAGCATTGCTATTAGCTCCTGTTTACTTCTTTACAACATATTATCTGATTGTTGTGAAAACTTCCTCTGAGCAATGAGGAGAAATTCATTTGGAATGCTCTAACGAGATGCATTCTCCACAGGCAGCAGCAACACAACAAAATAAAAATGAAATTAATTATAGTTTCTTATTCTAAAGATACTGGATAAGATACAGTATTTAAATGCTAATGGTCAGATTAAAAGTAAGTCCAGTGATGGACCTGTGGTTGACTTTTAAGAGCCACAAATTGGCACAATTCTTTGCTCGCAGGTTGACTTTACAGATGAGGTTTATCTACACTTGTTTAATCAGCAAGGCCTCAGGATGGTCAAGGATTAAATTCATGAAGG